TATTTGCGGTTGCTGAGTGCAGCGTGTGCGCAGGCTGCAGCCGGTGCACGGAACATCATATTTTTGAATAGCGCAAACATTTCTGCTTTGGCAGCGCAGCTCCCTTCCAAGCGAGGTCGAATTACGGGAAAGTACGAAGTGCAAAGCACGCCAGCCTGGGAGCGAGTCGAGCAGATTCCCGTGGTTCCAAACAGTCCTTTTCGTTTAGTCCTTTGCAGAATGTACAGTCACCTCACTTATTTTTAGACATGTTCCCTCCTGTGTCCCCTCAGTGTGTCTTTCCTGTTTGCCATCGTATGTGGCTATTTATCGAAGCCAGATGTTTGCAAGCGAGAGCCCCTCCCTGAGTCACTCTCTCCCTGCTCATGGATGTGACATTAAATCCACATCTGTCGGAAGCTCTAAGATAGTTAAAATCTAAGGACTTGTTAATGAGACGGAGCATTGCCTAGTGGTTAAAGGTGGGGGGGGACTGGAGTCAGGAGGTTTGACTTCTATGCCCAGCTCTGTCACCAGCTCACTCTGTGACCTTGGGGAAACCACTTCCCTGCTCTGAGCCTCAGTTTCCTCTGCTGTAATTTCGCCGGCCCCTCTCCACTGCTCAGGGCACTCCCAGAATGAGAAAGCCACAGCTTTAGTTCAGCTCTATTTCCAGTGGCAAATATTCCAGTTAGCAGACTTTCCTACGAGAACCGCAGCCGCCCTCCCTGACCTCCTCAGGACAGCTCACGTAACTCAGGCTTCCACCCCCTGGGCCTCAGAACCCCCAACCTCCCGAAACACCAAGCAGGACAGGTGGGCCTTGCAACACGCCAGCCTCCACAGACCCCAGGGAGGATGCCTCAGGGAGAACATCCTGCCAGCAGCTGTCTCGTCTCCCTGCTCAGGTGCCAGCACTGAGCTCGGCAGCAGTGGTCTGGCCCAAGGACAGCCACTGCAGAGGCTGGGGTGGGGGGTGTTATCTGCTGCCTGCGTGACCCACTGCTCAATCGGTGGCCGGCCGCATTCAATGCCAGCCTGAGCTTCGGAGTGACTCCGTGGGGGGAATAAGACTTAGCCACGGCTGTCCAGGGAAGGCACGTGGAGATCAGCAAGTGAAAGGCAGTGCGTGGGGGAGACTGAAGGGTTTTTCCAGCTAGCACATGGCTCACATGCTCACCTATGGGCGAGGGCATTCAAATATCAGGAGTTCACATTTCTCTCTGTTCCTCCTAGCGATGGCGCTGGATCCAGACGTCTCTCCCACAGCAGAAGGAGAAGGGAGCTGGTTTGGATTCATAACCCCATTCTCTAGAGTTGGGTTCTGGTCCCAGGACCCAGGAATCCAGAACCAGAACGGCTTTTCCCCTGAATAGATTCACATGTTCCCCCAAAGGCTAAAATCATGCCGGTTTCCCTTCTGTCCCATCCCAAACCTAGCTGCAGCTAAGCCTCAAACCCAAACTGGACCTAATCCAGATCCGAGATCTTTGCCTCTGAGGCACCTCTGACCTCCCCAGGAGACACCCAACGCCTCCCCGGCCATAGCAGCCACTCCCCCCCATGAATCACAGAAAGCACTATCACTCCTGTACTAAGCGAGGTGACGAGGACAGTAACGTCTGTCTAGAACAGTGTGGTTCAAATTGCAAATCAGGAGTCCCCAGGACTAAGGGGGAAAGAAAAAAGCCTTTTCTTCTACTTTCTGGGTACGTCAATCCGCCTATGCCTTCTGCCATTCTTAGTTCCCCACACCCACCATCACACCCTGTATTCCTGGAGATCACCACTTACCACCTGTCTGACTGCAGCCTCCTCGGGGAGGAACACTGAGGCTGTTTTAACAACTGTTTAAAGCCAGGACGTGAAGGATACTATTGGCTAAATGGGGACTTAGAGAGGCTGAATGTAATGCTGATAATTATTTGGCCTCCTAGACACTGGCATTAACTCCCCTATTCATTTCCCAACAGCTTTAGTGACCCCAAGCTTGAGGAGTTTGGTTTTCTCTCTCTGAACGATGCCGCCCCTTGCAATATCATGCCCCCAGAGTCACTAATGAGCTCAATACAGATTCCTCCTTGGTGTACATGAGGTCATACTGATAAGGCTCAGCACAAACGCCAGCAGACCGGACAGCCCTGGGCTCTCCCATGGAGATGCAAAGGCAGCGCTTTACTCACCAGCCTGTCTGCAGTGCGTTGGAGAAGGTTCTGCATGTCCGTTCTGTGGCTGATATCCTCCCAGTAGGACGACAGCACCACCACGGGCTTCACATTGCCCCAGGGGAGATAGTAATACTGGCAACCTGTGGGACAGAACACACTCGTATCTGGCTCTGTGTGGGGGACGTCACCTGCGACCAACTGGCCCATAGACCGAGAAAGGGGCAGAGGCCTGGTGCATTGTGCTCTTTGACCCGAAGGGCAAAGGTTTTAGTCCTGGTTCCCTCGGTGTGTGACGCAATGAGATTAATTATAATCCAGTCAGCCTTGGTATGAAACGAGATGTCTAGTGCAACTCGAACTGTTGTAACAAACCCACAGCTATGTAGATGCCACTATGCTGGGGCCAGCCGGGACCTCCTGGGGACAGAAGAAGGTTCTGGTCCAAAAGCGCAGGCCCCTGGAGCTAAAGAGGAGTCGCCGTTATGTGTTGTTATTGGGCCTATGACTCATACTTGAACAGTTCTGATTTCCTGCAGAGGAGGGCAGCAATACACACACACACTATCAGTTCATTGCAATCTTAGTAATAGCTTCCACATCTGTCACACCATTGATACCCGAACCCTTCCCCTGTCCTACATGCACCGAAATCACTCCACCCACCACAGCAAGGCAGCCACTGCTGGGGTGCAACTGAGGGCCGCTGAGTCCCCTGCAACACCACTCAACAGTTTCAGCTGGGGAGTGAAGAAGAATACCACCTCCAACTAAAACAACAACAGGAGGAAATTTTAGGCAGGCAGAATGCAATTGCCCGACATGGAACGTGGCCGGGCCAGTCACCCTAAACATTGCAAAAATGGCCAGGGCATCTTGGATGGCCCTGAGCGCTCAAGGAGTTCTGCTCCGCTCGAGGAGATGGAAGGGGGAGGTACATTTTGGGTGCGGGCTCTTGAAGGTATCCCACCAAAAAAGGAACAGCCAATAGTGGTAGGGTGGCCAGATGTCCGGTTTTCATCCCAGTCGAAAAGGGACCCTGGCGGCGGTGCAGATCGGACCATTAAAAGTCCGGTCAGTGGCACAGTGGAGCTAAGGTTGCCACAGTGGAGCTAAGCAGGCTCCCGGAAACAGCGGCATGTCACCCCTCTCTCTCGCTCCTATACGTAGAAGCACCAGGAGGCTCCGCATGCTGCGCCCACCCCAAGCACCAGCTCTGAAGCTGCCATTGGCTGGGAACCTCAGCCAATAGGAGCTGCGGGGGCGGCGCCTGTGGACGGGGCAGAGTGCAGAGCAACCTGGCCATGCCTCCGTGTAGGAGCCAGAGAGGGGACATGTTGCTGCTTCTGGGAGCTGCTTGAGCTAAGCGCCACCTGGAGCCTGCATCCCTGTCCCCCTCCTGTGCCCAACCCCCTGCTCCAGCCCTGATCTGCCTCCCACCCTCCAAACCCCTCGATCCCAGCCTGGAGCACCCTCCTATACCCCAAGACCCTCATCCCCAGCCCCACCCCAGAGTCTGCATCCGCAGATGGCGCCCTCACACACACCCCGTGCCCCAACCCCCTGCCCCAGCCCTGATCCACCTCCTGGACTCTGAACCCCTCATCCCCAGCCCCAACCCAGAGTCTGCACTGCCAGCCACAGCCCTCACCCCCCACACCCCTGCCCTAGCCGAGCCCCCTCCCGCACTCCGAACCCTTCATCCCCAGCCCCACCCCAGAATCTGCACCGCCAGCCAGAGCCCTCGCTACCCCCACCCCAAGCCCCTGCCCCAGCCAAGCCCCCTCCCACACTCCAAATCCCTCAGCCCCGGTGCCTTGGAGAGGGGTAGGGGGCGTGGCCAGGGTGTTAGGTTTTGTGCAAATAGAAAGTTGACAGCCCTAAATAGTGGAACACACTGTATCTCTTCCATTCGCATCCTGGCTCAAAGAGAGAGAGAGAGAGAGAGAGTGTGTGTGTGTGTGTGGGTGGGTGGGTGGGTGTCAGAGGGTGAGCTGGGCCTGTAATGGGTCAGGGCTCTGGCCTACATCTGAGCCAGGGCACCATGGTTGCCAGGATACAGCAGCGCAATGACAGAAACTTGAGGGAGCAGGAAGGCCAGGAAACCTGCCAGGATGCAGGTGGTTTCCTCTGCCCATCGTACAAGGGGCATTGCCTCTGGGCGGCTGTAGTCATATGGGCCCCGTGGGCTCGACCTGGTTTGAGGAGCGATCTCCTTGCCACGCCGCGCCCCCTTCCCCGTGCCCGCGCACCCGCCCGCGCCTCACCGTCAAACACAGCCCCGCTGTACTGCGTGGCGGAGGCCAGCGGCAGGCACGTGTTATCAAACTTGTTGCCGTAGTTGCCGATGCTGACTTCGAACTGGATGGCGGCGTCGACGTCCTGAAGCATGCTGGCCGAGTAGAAGGCGGCGAAGAGGCAGTACTTGCGCCGCCGCAGGTGCTTCTGCAACACACAGAGCCGGCCCCGTGGGAGGAGCCGCAGCTTCTGACCTGGGGCCTCTCCCAGCCAAACCCTCGCCCACTCCCGCATGCACCGCTTCCCAGGATGGCGTGGAAGGGGCAGGGAGGAGCAGCTGAAGGCCAGCATGCAAGAGAGCTGCCCCTCTCTCCCCACATGAAGGGGGAGACAGGCGGCAGATAGCTCCAAGGACACATTGCAGGGAGCAAGAAGGTTCTTCAGGGCTGAGTTGGCAAGGGAAAAGCACAAGCAGTGGAAAGCTCTCCTGACAGGGAGACCTGGGAGAGACCCTGCCCAAGGAGCTGGGCAGAGACCAGGGTACAAGCTGCACCAGTTTGCGTTTCACTCTGGTGTGGCTGTACTGCGGGGAGGGACGCTGACCTAGGGCTGGGGCCCAGAGAGCCAGTAGGCACCTGAGGACTAATTGGGATCCTTTCTGGAGACCGTTTGAACTGAGAGTTCTCAAAGGGTCCCTGAAGAGACTGGACGGCTCCAGCACAGGGCCCCAGAGGGTGACCTCTCTCCAGGAAAGGATGGTCCAGAGGCAGTAGACGACCACGCCGTATACCCTCAACGCCCGAGTCAGCGAGGAGATGAGTCTGCGACAGCCGTTGGCTAACAGGGAGAGCCTTTTGGCTCCAACTGTGGCGCAACGGGCTTTAGTTCTGGAGGTTGCAGATTCAGTCCCCAGCTCCGCCAATTACCAACCCTGTGATTTATAACCAGCATGATGCCTGGGTCCTCAGTAGTGATTCAGCAAGGATGCCACATACCTCTAGCCGTAGAATATCGTCAGGCGGGATGTCCTCCAACTTCTGCTCAATATGTTCCACCAGTTTTGTCTCCAGCTCCATCAGCAACCTGCCCCGAAAGGCCACTCCCTCTCCCTTAGAGTTAGATAAGAAGAAAGTGCTGTTACCAAGACAGCTGCATCTCAGATATGCTCCCATTGGAGTCTATGGGTACGTCTACATAGACGGGTAGTGATGGCAGGTAGTGATCGATCTATCTAGTGTAGACGCGATAAATCGATCCCCGATCGCTCTCCCATCGACTCCGGAACTCCACCACAGCAACAGGCAGAAGTGGAGTCGAAGGGGGAGCCGCGGTCGTCGATCCCGCGCCGTGAGGGCGCGAAGTAAGTGATTCTAAGTCGATCTAAGATACGTTGACTTGAGCTATGTTATTCTCGTAGCTGAAATTGCGTATCTTAGATCGATCCCCCACCCACCCACCCAGTGTAGACCAGTCCTATGGGAGCTCTGCCGTTGATTTTGTTCAGTTCAAGAGGAGCAGGTCGGGCAATGTATTTACGCAGCCCCTTATAGATGTAAAGCAAACGATGTTATTTTTTTGACGATGTATTTGCCAAGAGGGGTAATAATTTCCCGTAGGTGCAATGGATCCTGGGAGATCTGGGAGAAGAGCAGCTTTTTTGATTCAGTGGCAGTTGTGAAAAATCAAAAGAGTTTCCATCTGGGTCAAACCGACTGAAAATTTGGGGAATTTTTGGTGAAACAAAAACATCCACTGGGGGTCTGTTCTAGAGTGGGGAATCGAACGTGGGTTTCCCACATCTGGGGTAAGTGTCCTAAGCACTCAGTTAAAGGCTATTCGGGGGAACAGGACAAGGAGGTAGCACCACCTCCTCCTCCGCCGCCGCCGCCGCCCGCTTTGTGACTGGCTGAACCAATTTGCATCCAGTTTGTGAATAGTTTTATGTCGACCAAAGCTGTGTTTTTTGGCAAACTATTCTTCTGAAAAATAGCACCTGGCTCCAATCCTCGTACCGATTGTGACGTTGCACTCTATATGATGTTATGAAAATATGCTAATGAGAGTGACTATAATGTAACTGGAATGTGCTTCATGCAAAAGGTCTCTTGTATCATTACAAAGCTTATAATCTACTGAGTGTGTTCATCCGATTTGTATGAATGTATCATTCTTGTATCTGAAACTAGAAATATGAAATAGAACTCTGAGGCCCTATTGTAATTATGCAAAGTGTGGGCCATTAATGGTGGTTTGGAATTTTGATGGCTCCCATCAACCAGGACAATTGACTGTAGATGGCTCTGTTTTACTTGTGAGTCTTCCTGTACATGTGTGTGCTAGCAAGTGCGTAATGAAGTCTTGCAGTGCCATGTAATCATGTCACCTGAACTGGAATCCATCTTTAAGCTAGTGCTTTTCCATTGAGAAGGAGGGGGTGGGAACCCAGAGAGTGACAAAGGATTCCCGCCTTGTGCCAAAGATATATAAGTGGGTGGAACAGAACAAAGGGGCTGTTGTCATGAGAAATCCCCTAGCTACCACCTGAGCTGGAACAAGGACTGTACCAGGGGAAAGGATTGGGCCCAGAGTAGGAAGGCATCCAATCTGTGATAGATGCTTATTGAAACGTCTGAGGGCGAGATTTTATCTGTATTCAGTTTTCTTACTGTACTAGGCTTAGACTTGCGTGTTTTATTTTATTTTGCTTGGTGATTCACTTTGTTCTGTCTGTTATTATTTGGAACCACTTACATTCTACTTTTTGTATTTAATAAAATCACTTTTTACTTATTAATTAACCCAGTGTATGTCTTAATACCTGCGGGGGGGGGGCAAATAGCTGTGCATATCTCTCTATCAGTGTTATAGATGGCGAACAATTTATGAGTTTATCTTGTATAAGCTTTATATGGGGTAAAATGGATTTATTTGGGGTTTGGACCCCATTGGGAGCTGGGTGCCTGAATGCTGGACACCGGAGCACTTCTTAAGCTCTTTTCAGTTAAGCCTGCAGCTTTTGGGGGACGTCGTTCAGACCTGGGTCTGTGTTTGTAGCAGGCTAGCGTGTCTGGCTCAAACCCAGGCAGGGCACTGAAGTCCCAAGCTGCCAGGGAAAACAGGCTTAGAGGTAGTCTCGGCACATCAGGAGGCAGTCCCAAAGGGGGTTTCTCTGATCCAACCCGTCACAACGATTCATGAAAGTTCAGGATAATGAGAGTGTTTCACTTTGCAAAGAGGAATTTTTGAAAACTGAACAACCACAACTTCACCTTTCCCATGTTGAGTTCCTCATAGGGATCTGGAAACCCGGTAAATTCCCTCGGGCTGCCGTAAAGGTTTACGTAACAGGGCCCAAACGTTGGCAGGAATCCCAGCCCGTCGTCCACTAGGAGACCACAGGGAGCAATCAGTTACTGAGCCACTACAACAACACTTCTCATTAATGCATAAAAAGAGAACGGGCACTGAGCAAACTATAGCATATCCCTCTAACTACAGGGTTATGGGTCCAATGGGTGCTAAGGGCAGGAACACGGATCTCTTCTGAACTAGACTCTGTTATTATCTTAGAATCATAGGACTGGAAGGGACCTCGAGAGGTCATCTAGTCCAGTCCCGTGCACTCAAAGCAGGACTAAGTATTATCTAGACCATCCCTGACAGGGGTTTGTCTAAGCTGCTCTTAAAAATCCCCAAGGATGGAGATTCGACAACCTCCCTGGGCAATTTATTCCAGTGCTTAACCACCCTGACAGTTAGGAAGTTTTTCCTAACATCCAACCTAAACCTCCCTTGCTGCAATTTAAGCCCATTGCTTCTTGTCCTATCCTCAGAGGTTAACAAGAACAATTTTTCTCCCTCCTCCTCCTAACAACCTTTTATGTACTTGAAAATTATCATGTCCCCTGTCAGTCTTCTTTTCTCCGGACTAAACAAACCCAATTTGTTCAATCTTCCCTCATAGGTCATGTTTTCTAGACCTCTAATCATTTTTATTGCTCTTCTCTAGACTTTCTCCACATCTTTCCTGAAATGTGGTGCCCAGAACTGGACACTATACTCCAGTTGAGGGCTAATCAGTTCAGAGTAGAGCGAAAGAATTAATTCTTGTGTCTTGCTTACAACGCTCCTGCTAATACATCCCAGAATGATGTTTGCTTTTTTCACAACAGTGTTATCTTATAGTGGAACAGCTGGGTAGCAGTTCCCTCCTCCACTGCACGCTCTATAAATGGGCCCACTGCAGGTCTGGTTCCAATCTCACACACACGAGGGTAACTCCATGAGACCATGCCACGCCCCAAATGTGACTGCTTTATGCCACGCCCACATTGCACAACACACACACTGGCAATTTAACCGGCTCATGGATCCCGCGAGGGGCTAGAACCTCTCCATTGCCACCCACTCTAGGGCTTGTCACTGAGGTAAAGGAGGCGTGGCTGGGGTGTCAATGCCACAGCACAGCCAGAGGCAGCCAGGCCTTAAGATAGCCCTGGGGCTGATCTAACTTACCCCAAGGATCTAATTGCTCCTGATTGGTGGTTTAAAGCCAACTTTGCATTCCCCAGCCTCCCTGGCTGCACCAAGCACAGACATAGTCTGGGATTGGGGCCATCGACATCAATGGGGTGACACCAGCATGAGTGAGGTCAGAATCAGGCCCTGGTCAGATGACAGATCTGTTTACTCTGTACAACTACTCCAGCGTTACACTGGCAGAACTGAGAGCCCTTTTCGTGCGGCGCTAAGGCCAGTCCCATTCCCAATAAAGCCAGTCACAAAGCGCCGGCGGATGGGCCACCCGGCACTTCCTCCATCCCACACACAGCAGTGGACACAACTATACAATTCAACAGAGGGAGACCCTGCCAGTGAGAGCCTGATCTCAGGGACTCCGGTCCATCCAATCGGCAGTAATCGCACTGAATTCACAGGAGCTACTTCCGATATACACTGGGGAGCCATGGCCGTGCTAGGCCATGTCCACACCAGAGAGGGGCCCAAGCCACAAAATTCAGATCAGGATCCAGATTTTAGCCCCATTCCCTCTTTCGGGGTGTTTGGAATTTAGAGAAGGGAATTTATCCTGGGAAGAGGAAGGCTCTCCTCTTCCTATAGTCCCATATTTGGGGTACTAAAGGAGTGGGCTGGATTCCCAGCAGGTGTCAATCAGCATCACTCCACTGCCCACCGTGAACTGGGGATCTATCCCACTCACTGCCGTGGAGCGTGTGCCGGTTTACACCAGATGAGGATCTGGTTCAGCGCCCTCTTCCTTAGGACACCTAATGATCCATCAGGTGACCCTCAGTCCATTGCTTGAGAGGGTGGCATCAGCAGCACGAGGAGAGCAGGAATAAATCTTGTACTTTGAAACCAGCCAGGCCCAATGCACCAGGTCTTGGCCCAGTGAGCAGCACAACACGTCCTCGGGTCCTGCTTACCACACGAAACACCGTCGGTGTTCAACAGAAAGCTCATCACTAACAGAGAGCAGTGCCTCGTGCTTGGCATACCAACCCCACCAGAGGCTCAAGGACAGTGGAGACTCCATACCATGGCCCATCCCACCCCACAGATGATCCAAGGGGGGCACATATGAGGCTGGAGGAGGTCTGGGGTCATATCTCGGTGGCTCGCTCCCTTTGACAAGCCACGTTTCAGACACGGAGGCTTTGGCTGATCCTGGTTCTGTCCAGGGTCCCAGTGTGTCTAAACACGGCTAAAACGGCCAAATTACCGAACCATAATTGCAACCAACAGGCTAGAGGGACGTACTGGCTGTAGCTTTCAGGGGCTTCGTGAGAACAGGAAACTCATCTGAGGCACAAAGAAATGGAGAGAAGGTTAGAGTGGGAACAAGAGAGAAGGGGTGGAAGGCGCGTGACCTGAGACCAATGCATTATGGGAAATGCAAGCTGCTGCTGCAATGGGGCTTTTTGTGCCAGACTCTAGAGAGAGACCAAGAGGGGAACTGAACAGCTATAGTCTCCTAGGTCACTCTGGCTGGAAGATACTCATGCTGCACCATATCACATGCGGCCCTGGGAGTGGATTGGGAGCCTTTCCTACAGAGCCCAGGCCTGGCCTCCTTAATCAAGTCAGCCGGCCAAACCGCCTCCCAGGAGCGCAGCGGAGGTCCAAATCTACCTCCCTGCTCTGTGTCCCACAATGCATTGCACCCAATCTAGCTGTGGCTCAGGCCTGTCTCTGACAATGGCAACACCCAACCCCTTCACCCAAAGGTCCCAAGGGCTGCAACGGGCATCCCAAAGCACCAAGGAACAACTAGGGGCTTCCATTCTGCTCCTCTATAAAAGCTGTCTCCCCAGAGCTGGCCTTTGGTTCTGTGGGGCCCTGCGCAAGGCGAGACATATGGGGCCTCAGACAGAGGGCTTGGAAACTGGCTGGGTTGGGAGTGTTGGTCATTAGGGGGATGTGGAAGAGGGGAATCAGTCCCTTGATGGCTGCTGAATCCAGGCTAGGACATAGGGGGACCCTGTGTGGTGACTGTAGGCCAGAGAGACCCACAAGGTGTGTTTGTGTCCAGCCGCCTTTGTATGCATCACAGCCAAGCCCCAGGATTTCTCTACCACATGGACACTGCACATCTTGTATCTGGGGGACAGGACAGATAGGGAACAAGGGGCATCTCGGCGCATGGGGCAGGGGAAGGAAAGGGTGTATCCCAGTGGTTCGTCCTTCGAAGAGTGAGGTTGCAATGGGCTGTCGAGTGGGGATCTCCTGGGTACCCGGTAGGTGTGAGTGTAGGTCCCTGTGTGGCCTCCCACAACACCCATGTGACCTGCTCCTGTGGCCAGCAGAGAAGTTAACTGGAAGAGGGTCCCTCTGTATCCACATACCTACATGGCCCCGCTGACCCATTGCTCAAGACTAAAACCCTTCATGGCTGCCAGTCTCGGCTCCCAATCCGCTTTGCAGTGTAACCGCCCCTAAGAGCACAGGGCTGGGTCTGGCCTAAGGGAAATGCTTCCAAACGCCTCCAACGGACCCCTCTTCCCTGTCGCCCGCTCCCTCGCTCTCTCTCTAGGGATCTGCAGCTGCCCAGGCTGGCCCATACGTTAGGTCTCTCCCAGGAAAGAGAGGATGAATAGACGAAGCCCGTGTCAGTGGGCGCATGGCATTGCAGTCTGAACTCCACACTCTGCATGCGTTGGCAGGGCAGTTTGTGTTGTAAGAACAGGTTAGCTGCGCCCTAAGGCCCCAACTGCATTACAGACCTTGACCGAGTTTGTCACCAGGTTGACACCATGTGTTTTAGGCCCTTTCCTAAGCACGGTGAGGGCACCATGTTTCAACCCGGCTTGTAAGCAGAGCTGTGGCTGGAATCTCACCTGGAAGTTCTGCTATGTATATGTTTTTGAGCGGGGGCTCATTTAACAGTGCACGAGTAATATGGTTAGCTGGTGCCTCTACCTCCCTGGTCTATGAGCAAGATCCCAAAATGCATTGCACCACGTGAGAAAATACCCACAATCCTCTGCCACTCAGTGGTGACAGGAGGGTGCAGCTGCCCCAAATTTCCCAGAGTGCACCAGTGGGAACATGGCTGGGCTATGCAATAAGTATGGGCAGGCCAAGACCATTGACACGTGATTGGTCCAGGAGAAATGCTACAGTGTGGATACGCCAAACCATGCAAGCTGCAATTGTGTCAGCACCTGGCGCCTGTTCACAAGGGTTCTGTCTGGAGCGCAGCCGGTACAAACCCACTGGAGCATAGCGGTGAGGACAGTCGGAACAGAGCAGCAAAGGGAGTTAGCGGCAGGAGTCATTCAGTAACCGACGGGGTTAGGGCAGGTTCAGGCTACAGTCCCTACCACAGTTGCAAAGACCTGGGTTATTCAGAAACCACCACGACACGACAAAGTGAACCGTGAGTCCCTGCACTTCCTCCCGCCTGACACGAATACCATGACACGGACGGTGTGATTGAGGTCTGGCAGCTGATAGCTGATGGCTAGACCCGCCCCCTCAGCCCCCACTTGGGAGGTCTTCAGGACTTGAACCCAAGACCCTCAGCACGAGCTGCTACCACTGGAGCTAGCAAGACCAAGCCTCACTGCTACAGCAAATAACAGGCTCATAAACCTCTTATGTGAGCCAGCCACTGAGGGTACATCTAAGTCCAGCCTCTGATTCTGGTTTGACCTCCAGTCCCCCTTTTGGACCTGGGTCCTAGGACTCTGCTGGGGCGGGGGGTGTCAGAACCCAAATCCCACTGCGACTCGGATCTAAGCCTGTCATTTTGCAATGTGGACACTGCTCAAGCCACAGACCCGGGTCAGAAGGTCTGCGTAGTGCAGTGTGGATGCTTTAGCATGGCTGAGAGACCTGGGACCAGCAACTGTAAACCCAGGTTTGCACCTGGTATTGGCCACTGTTGGAAGACAGGATGCTGGGCTAGATGGACCCCACTGTGGCCATTCTTATGTTCTTATGTCGGTTTACAATGCAGTGTGGATGCTCCAGCACATGGCTGGAAACACAGAATCCACAAGCCCGGGCCCAACCGATCTGGGTTTACAGGGCAGTGTAGACATACCCTGGAGGGAAGACACTTAGTCAGGACTTAGCAGAGTCCCAGATCCCTGAAACCACACAGCCTTTCCTCACCCTCTGTGCACTGAGAACAGGCAGGGGGGGAATCTTCCCGGCTCCTAGATTACAATGTGAAGGTGGGTTCAAACTAAGGCAAAATGAGCTCCACCCTCCCTAATGCTTCTTTACTGAGATGCCAGGGCACGCGCAGACAGAGCAATTCTGCACCCCTGCCCCACGGAGCTTTCACTTCAAAGGGGACACACGTGCAGAAGTTCAAATGCCCAACGGGCCACCACCGGCGCTTCACAAGGACATTCCCAATGCCCAAGCAACCCAGGCCCCAGCGGGAGGTTAGCGGGGCTTGCACCAGTGAAGAAGCAAGGGGAGAGTTTGGCTAAGTGAATCCAAAGATACCCCGTGGATATAGGTCCCGATCCAGCAAAACATGTAAGCAAGTGCTTACCCCTTGGACTGGAGCAGGCCCAGTGAAGCCAGGGGGATAATCCACCTTCTTCAAGTTACACACCTGCTTAAGTGCTTTGCTGGACCGGGCCATAGCCAATAACTGGAAGACACGCTGGGGGCCCGCAGTGAGGATTTGGGGTCAAATTGTGCCCCCCATTCGGAGCTTTGCCACTGGCATCAATAGAGGCAGGGTTTAGCCCTGGATGTCCTAGTGCCAAGTGATGACTGCCCCTTCCATGGGTGCCCATGGGACAGGGAGAGCACAAGATGCCTCTCCGTTTTTGTACCCCACACTGTGCAAGAGCCAGCCCCACCTCAGCCCCGGCTGTTTCTTCAGCAGCCGGCAGAGCCGTCCAACAGCACAAGAGAGCGTACGCTCCCCTCCTGTCCACAGGCAGGGTCCCCTTGCATGCCCGGCGCTCATCCCACCGATTTCGAGTGCCCCTGCTGGGGCGGAGCTGGGCTGCAGCCAAAACCCACCCAGAGCTTTAGCGCAGACGACATTCACGACATGCCTTAAAGAGTCACCCACTTCTGTCGCGACCCAACCTCAGTCAGCGTCACTTGAGATTCCCCCACGCTCGCCCGTCGGAGGGGAAGGCACCAGCCCTCACCAGCCCCCAGGGTTTCATAGAGAGGATCCCGGTCAGTAATTCTCCTTCACCAAAGCCAAGACCAGCCTCCGAGCCACGAGCATGCATTCCCTATAGCGCCCAGTGCAAACTCCAGGCACGGGCCTCTCCTTACCTTCCAGCTCTCCTCCCGGGGCGGAGATTTGAGACATGCGCAGGTGGGTTGTGCCGATGACATCGTTGTGAGTGACACGGTCCCTGAAATAAGGGGTTTGGTTTAACTGTAGCAAGTGTTTGGTTGATCATGCTTTGCCCATAAAGAGCCTTCCTTTGGGAGAGCGCCACGTTCTTTACGAACGTTAACTCTCCAAGTCACCCCTATTAAGACAGGTCAATATTCTTGGACCAGATCCCCATCTGGTGTAAATCCACAGTGCTCCATTGGAATCAGAGGGCCAGATCCCCATCTGGTGTGAATCCACATTGCTCCATTGGAGTCAGAGGGCCAGATCCCCATCTGGTGTAAATCCACATTGCTCCATTGGAGTCAGAGGGCCAGATCCCCATCTGGTGTAAATCCACATTGCTCCATTGGAGTCAGAGGGCCAGATCCCCTTCTGGTGTGAATCCACATTGCTCCATTGGAGTCAGAGGGCCAGATCCCCATCTGGTGTGAATCCACATTGCTCCATTGGCATCAGTGGACCAGATCCCCATCTGGTGTGAATCCACATTGCTCCATTGGAGTGAGAGGGCCAGATCCCCTTCTGGTGTGAATCCGCATTGCTCCATTGGAGTCAGCTGGCCAGAAGAAGTCAATGAAGCTGTGCTGATTTTTACCAGCTGTAGATCTGTCCCATTAACTTGGTGTTACAGATGGGAAACTGAGGCACGGAGCGAAGCGAAGTGACTTGCCCACTATCACAAAGGGAGACAGTGGCAGACTGCACAATAGAAGCTAGAAATCCCGACTCCCGGTCCACTGCTCTAGCCACATAGGGTCTGAGCCTGAACATCCACCGTGCAATTTGGTAGTCCCGCAGCCCAGGCCTCACAAGCCCACATCAGCTGACATGGGCCAGCTATGGGTGTTTAATTGCAGTGTAGACACACCCTTAGTCTGCTACTACCAAACCGTATTTTCTTGGATGGTGAGTAAGGTGAGAAATAATATCCTATATGTTTAGAGCCACTTGGTTGCAGGTAAAGGAAGTTACAGCTCTGGGGAGTGCTCCTTACAGCCAGTTATCACCTGACCCACCCCAGCCTTCACGGGCCTGGGAGAACTGGCTTGGCCCTTGCGTGATGGACGCGTTGTTTCTGGGAATGCGTCTGGCTTGGGATGCTCGCTGCATTTCGGATCTGGGTTGCACTAGCACAGGACAATTGAGACCTGGGCTGCCTAAATTGGTCCTTAGAACACGCTCCGCACTGGGTAGATAAGCCCATCTCCTCTTGGGCCCTGTCTCCTTCTATCCCAACTTCAAACTCACCAATCCATGACCCGGATCCTCATTTTCTCACACATGGAAGGAAACTAGAGAAATAGGCACAAAAGGGGAATGGTCAGTGCAAACGGCTCAGGGGACAATGCTCGGAGCAAAGCGACCCAAGAGGCAGAGACCTGCCGTTGCTCACCATGGCTGGCACGGTGATGCGCTGGTTCCACTGGGGGTTGGCGTTCTTCTCCAGGATCTTAGAGCTGATCTGGCGAGAGAAGGGAACAATAAAAGGCAGCGTCAGGGCAGGGTTGGCTTACCCTTCTCTACGAGCCTATATAAGAAAAAGACCCAAAAATCGGGACTGTCCCTATAAAATCAGGACATCTGGTCACCCTAAATTTATCAGATGGAAATTAAGGGAGGAGGTGTCAGATCCATGGGACCAGAGAGATCCTCATGAACCAGCGATGGTCCATGGATCACAGCTTGGGAACTGAGAACATTTAAGAAATAATGATCATCCATCAATTTAAGCCGGTTCCCAAACTGTAGCCAAGCCCTGAGCTAGGAAATTATTTCTCGGTTATTTCCCCACCCCTCCCCCCAAACACACAAGGATCTAAATATGTGCATTGTCATTTTTAATACAACAGCACCACTAAGAGACTAGAGCAGAAATTACTCATATGCAGCAAAGAACAGAAGACCCCATCTGTGCTTTCTCCAGAGAGGTGCGTCCCATGGCTAATCTGTTGCTACTCACAACCTAGCTTTGCCATCCTGTGTGTGTCCTACTCTGCAAATAGTCCTGTGAGCAAAGGCAGCCTGGATTGGCTCCTTAGTTATGGGGTTTTATTTATTTTTGCATTGAGAGGGATCAGAGATTTTAATTAAAAAAAAATGTCCATTGTAATTTTGTTACACTGACAAAGGGGTAGTGGCCATAGGCCTAAGCACAGATGTGTATGAAAATCTGTCCATCTCTCTAGGTATTCTTAGTGCACCCTTCATCGTGGTATTTCAGCACAAGGGCGGAAAAGACCGATCAAAGGGGGGCATCACTAGGGCTGATGAGATGAAACTGCCAGAAGGGAAACTTGGATTGGGCATCAGGAACCACTTTCTAAGAGTGAGGATGGTTAGAACATGGAGCCCAACTGGAGAAAGGTGTTCTAGGGGTCAGGGCAGCACTGACCAGGGTGGATGGAGGAGTTGACCTAACCCCGTAGATGTTCAGGCACCACGGAAATGAGCAGAGTACGAGCAATCAGACCGACAGATCTTCCCCATCTCTAGCTTTTGGGAGTAAAATACAGATGTGAGCAACACCACTGCATGCCCACTGGAGGGCTGTGTCAGTCCAACAGGTCAAACTGCTGCAGGCCTCACCCTGCAATTAAACTCTGCCCGGGCCTCATTCCTCTTTGCTTTTCTCCCAAGCAACAAACAAAGGCACCAGAGACGCCCTAGACAACCCATCCCCCCCTCTCCTGACCTCCGTCACTTTCGTCCTCAAGAAAACGACGCCTATTTCAAACGTGGCCACCCGACTCCCACATTTCCATGCTCCAATTGACCCCTCGGTGACAGCTGGCTCACATCCAAACACTGTCCCATGCAATGAGGCTGGCGGCCCATTGATGGGGTTGCTAAGGGAACAGGAGTCCAGGAGACAGAGGCAGATTTCCTGCTCAGCCGGAAGATGGCCCATCAGTTTCCACCCCTCACCGTCCTGCCGGCAAAGCTGACTTCCACAAATGGATCGACCAGGTTCTTCTTGTTGCTCTCAAAGCCGAAGATCTGCTTGACATTGTCGATGATGGCATCGTCCACTGGAACAGAAGAGAACGCTCAACAATCCGCGCTCGGGAGGCTGGAGCGCGTAAGGAGTCCGCTGACTGTGATGCAAGCGGCCAGCCCAGAATGGCCCCGGGCTGCCGGGCCCTCGGCTTCAGAGCACACGGAGGAGCCTGAACTCTCTGCTTAGAACCTGAGTCTGAACTTTTCCATCTCCGTGGCCCAGTCTTTACTGATCAGCCCTCCAGTGAGTACCAGTTATGTGGTAGTGACAGATGTGACCACCGTGGGGCTGAGACCACTATGGGATTTTACATCCACTGAAAGGCAATGAGTTCCAGTCCCTGGTGGAAGAAGAGGTGGAAGCCTCTTTAACCAGCCTCTTTAACCAGCCCCCAAGCCTTGTCCCAGTAACAATCCTGTCCCTGTACTAATTACTTTTACAGCCCTGGAGCCGTAAAAGTCCATCTGCCCTGCAGGGTGAATACCGCTGAGTGACACCAGGGTAGAACGTCAAAGGACAGATCCTCAGCTGGTGTAAATCGGCATAACTCCATTGACTCTAGTGGTGCTGCACCAATCTACACCAGCTGGGGGTTTGGCCCGTTGTCTACCCGTGGCACTCTGCTGATTCTCATGCACGGGAGAGCTGGTCTAAGGCGTTAAAGAGTCCGGTGTCAGAGTGAGATGCACGGAACGGAAATCCAGAACACAGATGGACTATATCCCTTCACCCTTGGGCTGCAACATGTTACTGCTGCTGGGTCATTTCCAAGGCGACAAGCATGGGTCAGCTGCAATTAGACCCCGCAGCGGAAATACATACTCTGGGGCAAGTCTTCAGCTCTGTAAATTTTCAGGCAGAAGTGAGCCCCCCTCAGCGTGACCCCAGTTGGGCGCAGAAGATTCCCCTCAATATCTTCCTTCTCTTCAGCCACTTCTTTCTTCTCCAGCTGTGAGACAAACAAACAAACTGTTACAAAAGGAGAGAAATGGGGCTGAAGCTTTCTGCAAAGCAGAGAAACAGCGTCCGCTAAACAGAAACTAATGCGTCTTACCCCCAAGGTGAGACCTCCTTTACCATAAACCAGCAACGGGCCCCGCCTGGAACCCTCAGACCCAAACCAGCCTTGAAAGTTTGGATTCAGATCCAAACTCCATGGATCAGGCCCATCTCTGCTGTAAAGCCACAGACTCACAGAGACTGCAGGATCTGACCTAGAGGGTGGGACCTTTAAAGTGTTCAGCACTGGCCTAACTCTACTCTCATGAGGTCCTTGAGTGTTTTACCTCTGACTTCCGTGTGTTGGGTTTTGAGTTTGGTTCTGCTGGTAATGAGAGGTCAAATAATCAGGTTCAATCAGTACTTATTAATCATAGATTGTAATCAAAGATTAATACAGCGCAATACAGAATACAGACAGGAAGGTCATGTGACCAAACCGATCTGAAGAGTGGAAAAGTGACTGCAGCTTGATTCACTCCCAGAAATTGTCCCCCTTTTATATTGTGCTTGGGACAAAGACACTTCCTTTCTCAAAGACAATTCCTAACTGATCTACATGTAGAATCCCTTTCATGGTATCTCAGCTTATCTAATCAATACGCCAGAGAAATCTGTGATTAAGTCCTTATTATAGAAAACACCTGTAGCAATAAGTAATTCCTAATAAGCTAAAAGCATCTCTCTCTGGCTCAAATTATCTCATCGATCACTGACGGTATTTGCAATAACAAATATCCCTCATCAATGACAAATGGTCCCTTCCTGGACATCTGGACACATTCTCTGTAGGTCTAGAGGCTTCGGGTACAAATATTACACACATTCCACCATTTGGTCACACACTAAATTCAGCCGAAGTACATAGTCCCTAGAATCATAGCTACAGAAATTAGTATGGTAGATACAAAACACTTTGGTTCATGCACAAAGGATCATGGGGTTGTATATACAAAGAATAATGGGAAGTTTGGTCCATTTGCTAACAAGTAGAAGCAGGCTAATTCTGAGTGTTTTAGGAGAACTCTTCCTTGCCGAGATGTAACAGCAATGGACAGGACTATTATAGGTGACCTGCAAGGGGTAAAATGGGATTTTGTTCCTTCGTAATATATAAAGGTGACCTGAATATTTTTCCCCAATTTGAGATTCAGGTTCTCTCTACCCTGGAAGACTCTATGGACAGCTGGAGAACTAGCTACGTAGATTCCAAGGACAGGAGGGACCACTGTGATCATCTAGTCTGACATCCTGTGCAACATAGGCCATAGGACTGCCCCCAAAATAATTTCTGCTTGAATTACAGAGAAATATCCAATCTTGATTTAAAAAGTGCAAGTGATGGGAAAGCCACCATGACCCTTGGTAAATTGTTGCAATAGTTCATTACCCTCATTGTTAACTCGTGAATTTATGGCATCAGAAAAGCCAAGGAAGTGAATCTTTGTTAATTGGGAGGGAGTGGCATTTTCATTCACACTGTTTATAACTCTTGGGCTTTGATTGTTCGCTTTGTTAATCCCCTATTAGGTCAGCCACTAAGGAGAAAAGCTCTCTGTCTGTATTACCACCACCACCCCAGCCCCTATCTTCAATTAAGGACTGAGAAATTTCCCAATCTACATTTGAGTCAGCCAAGACATTTTCCCAAAAAAGCAGGGATGTCTTAATTTGAAATTCCTAATACATCTAAGGTACAAAACAAGCAGAAAGAAACACTTTCAGACTCTCTTTATAGAATCATAAAATCGTAGGACTGGAAGGGTCCTCGAGAGGTCTTCCAGTCCAGTCCTCTGCACTCAAGGCAGGACTGAGTATTATCTAGACCATCCCTGACAGGTGTTTGTCTGCTCTTAAACATCTCCAATGATGGAGATTCCACAACCTCCCTAGGCAATTTATTCCAGTGCTTAACTACCATGACATTAGGAAGTTTTTCCTAATTTTTCCTAATGTCCAACCTAAACCACCTTTGCTGCAATTTAACCCCATTGCTTCTTGTCCTACCCTCAGAGGTTAAAGAAAACAATTTTTCTCCCTTCTCCTTGTAACAACCTTTTAGGTACTTAAAAACTGTTATGTCCCACTTCAGTCTTCTCCTCCACACTAAACAAATCAAATTTTTTCAATCTTCCCTCATAGGTCATGTTTTCTAGACCTTTCATCATTTTTGTTGCTCTTCTCTGGACTTTCTCCAATTTGTCCATATCTTCCCTGATGTGTGGCGGCCAGAACTGTACACAATACGCCAGTTGAGACCTAATCAGCGTGGAGTAGAGCGGAATAATTACTTCTCATGTCTTGCTTACAACATTCCTTCATCCAGAATGATGTGTTACACTGTTGACTCATATTTAGCTTGTGATCCCCCAGACTCCTTTCCTTCTTAGGCAGTCATTTCCCATTTTGTGTGTGTGCAACTGATTGTTCCTTCCTAAGTGGAGTACTTTGCAATTGTCCTTATTGAATTTCATCCTATTTACTTCAGACCATTTCTCCAGTTCGTCCAGATCATTTTGAATTTTAATCCTATCCTCCAAAGCACTCGCAACCCTTCCCACCTTGGTATCGTCTGCAAACTTTGTAAGTGTACTCTCTATACCATTATCTAAATCATTGATGAAGATATTGAACAGAACTGGACTCAGAACTGATCCCTGCGGGACCCTACTCCATATGCCCTTCCAGCTTCATTGTGAACCACTGATAACTACTCTCTGGGAACAGTTTTCCAACCAGTTATGCACCCATCTTATAATAGCTCCATCTAGGTTGTATTTCCCTAGTTTGTTTATGAGAAGGTCATGTGGGACAGTATCAAAAGTCGTACTAAAGTCAAAATATACCACGTCTACCGCTTTCCCCCATCCACAAGGAATGTTACCCTGTCAAAGAAAGCTTTTAGTTTGGTCTGACACAATTTGTTCTAGACAAATCCATGCTGACTGTCACTTATCACCTTATTATCTTCTAAGTGTTTGCAAACTGATTGCTTCATTATTTGCTCCATTATCTTTCCGGGTACTGAAGTTAATCTGACTGGTCTGTAATTCCCCAGGTTGTCCTTATTCCCTTTTTTATAGACTGGCACTATATTTGCCCTTTTCCAGTCATCTTGCCCTCTTCCATGACTTTTCAAAGATAGTCGCTAATGGCTCAGATATGACCTCAGTCAGCTCCTTGAGTATTATACATGCTAAAGAAGCAAGAACAGGCCCCAAACCAACATTTTCCTTTATAGGCACCATGCAGGAGAGGGTTCTCCTTCCTCTGAAGCATCATGTATAGGTCACTGCCACAGGCAGGTGATTGGTTTAAATGGACCAATGATCTGTTGGAGTTCTTATGACACAATCATTGTCAACACATCCCCTCAGATTTCTTCCCGTTATCATTCTAGCACAATCTCATTCAAGCCAACCCTTCATATCTTCTTCAGGCAGCAAGACAAGACAGGGGGCCCTCAAGTAGCTCTCCTTCTCCAGTGGCAGCAAAATGGTACTTACGGGAGCTTCGTCGCCAGGTCCCAGCACAAACAGGCTGACTTTCACGTAACCTTTGGCCCCAGCAGAAAAGTCTTCTGAGTCAGAAAGGAGCAGCCATTTCCTGAGCAAGGCGTGCTCTAAAGAGAGAAACCGGGTTTCTGGTTTATTCCTGTCTGCCTCATAGGATGGAAAGATTTTGTAGCATCAGAATAAGGGATGGGGGAAAGCATTTCACGGTATTGTCAACCTTAAGCGTATAAAAATCACGAGCCAGCTCTAAAAATGTCATGAAATTGGCTCTAAAGTCATGAGAGTTTTAAAAATAATAAATGTTGAGTTCTTTTTATTTGCCTGCTGGTTTTTGAGCCCATAGGGTGTGTGTCATCAAGCTTTTCTTTGCAACTGTGAGGGCAAGAAACTGACTTCTTTTTCTAGTGAAAGCTGAGAGGCTCACGTAATCACATGACTCCAGGAGCTGGAGCTTAATAAAACCACCAAACAGCATGAGACGCGATAAAATTGCAGGAATTGAGGACATTGAGTTCACCTAAACTAAGAACAAGACTTGAACCTTCCTCCAACACATCTGAACTTTTGCATCTGGAAAAAGTTGGGTTGGAGGTTTTGTTTGTTTCTCACCCCTTCAGGTTGCAAATGGACAGGGATGGAAAGGATTAAATGGATGTGAGAAAGGCTGGCTTCTCATTGCATTTCCTACATAGATAAAGCAAGCTGCAATGTGACATTCTAGTGTCTTTCGCCATATCTAGGCACTCTGTCAGTCCTTCTTTCTCTCTCTGCAGGGACAGCCACCCCAGTCCTTCTAGCTGTAATACAGCCACACTCTTTCCAGCAGGAACCCCCACCGCCGCTGCCTCTCTGATAGACCATCCTCACCAGCAGAGCATCCCTCACTCTCCATGGCCCTCTCACTGCTCCCCTGGGTCCAGCTCTCCAGTGTGGAGACATCAGTGGGATAAACCCCACAGCTCCCCTGACTCTCTCTGACCCTCAGCTTCAGCAGGCAACTCCCTCTGCTGACCCTCCTGCCTTCCGTCCTCTCCAGCTCAGGGAGGTCAGCCAGCGAACCCCACTTGACTTGTTGCTCTCCTGCCTTCAGCCTTCCCCCAGGAACCACCTACAACTTCCTTCAGGGACCTTCCACAGTCTCCTGGTCTCTGGCATCTCTCACCTCCCCCTTTTCCTGACTGTCAGGCAGCCCTGATTCACAGTGTCTCCTACATCTAGGGCCCAGGTGCCCTCTTTTAAACCCAACTGGGGTCAGCGGACAAGTCACAGGTGCATGGGTCTCTTCCCTCTTAAAGGGACAGCGTCACCCTGTGACGTGTATATATAACTGTATGTGTTTGTGTGCTTACATATAAATATACATGTGTGCGCACATGCAGACCCCTGCATTTGGCCCATAGAAAGTTGTTGCAAAGAAATGTCCCTATGTTGTCCACATTTGATTTCTTAATTTCAAATCTCTAATGGTCCAAAAATCTCTGTAATTGTTTAACTCACTTGGTTCTGCATAAACTGTCCCGACATCCAGCTATAAAATAAAATGAAAAACAAAATCAAATGCTTAGCCATTGGCTGCACAGAGAAGAGGCCAAAATGATTACAAATATCGAGAGAGAGAGAGAGAGAGAGAGAGAGAGAGAGAGAGAGAGAGAGAGAGAGAGAGAGAGAGAGAGAGAGAGAGAGCACAAATCGTTACCCGAAATTCCCCAATCACAGAGTCTGTCCGGAGAGACCGGGAATCAACAACCTGGAGGGGGGAGGGGGGAGAGGAAAGATGCGAAAATGTAAATCCAGCATTTAAGAAAAACCTCACAACCATCCACGCTAAATCATTAGCATTCTCAGCGCACTCAGCTCAGTGGTTTGGAAAGCAGGCCAAAACTTGTCACATTTCATCGCAATTCTTTTCTCCTTTCAAATTTAACAAGAAATCAGGGAAATACGTTTTGCAAAAATATCAGGATCATTCCCACTCCCTTCTTTGACACGCTCTAGCAGTTTGTGTTTAACCTCACTTGGGGCCTGGTACGGAGCCCCTTGAAGTGAAGGAGCGCGTACCATTGAGTTCAGTGTGTTTCGGGTCAGGAATGATGTTGGCAGGCCAAGTACCAGCTTATGCCAAGGTCCCTAGGCCTCTGAAAACTGACCAGTGCATGGCTGGGAACCAGTCTGACTCACCTGTGTGTTAGGGTTGTTAAATAGGTATTAGATTTCTAGAGATGTGTTTAGTGTTTGGACTTTATGAAAGGCTTGTAAATTCCTGCCTGAATTAATCTCCCTATTACCAGCTGCATCCTGTTTTATAAGGTCATATTTAAGTATTTGCTCTGTAACTATAAAAGTATTTGCTACGACTAAGGCTAAGATTTTGTCACGGTTATTTTTAGTAAAATGCAGGGACAGGTCGCGGGCAATAAACAAAAATTCACGGAAGCCGCGACCTGTCCCTGACTTTTACTGGGGAGGGAGGGGGGACAAACAGAGCGCTGCCGGGGCTTGCAGCTGCTCCAGCCCAGGGGGGCTGACCCAACCCCAACTGCTGCTCCGGTGGGCCGGGGACTGCTGCTCGGGCGGCCCCAGGGCTGGCCGCCACGCCGAGCTTCCGGCAGCCCTGGCCAAGAAGAAATCACGAAGGTCCTGGAAAGTCATCCATGACCTCCATCACAGAATCATAGCCTTAGTTATGACACTGGGGAAAAACCCACTCAGTAGAGAGGCATTACCAAGGGTGAAATACTGGTTTACCACCAGAGGCATCATCTCCTGCCCAACAAAAGAAGGCCCATGGACACCAGACAAGCCATTGTGGAACATCAGGAGACAAAAGACTTTGCTGATTGCTGTCCCCACACCCATGAGGAAGAGATGTGCACAAGCCCTCGTCCCATCAGTTTGAACTCTGGGAGAAGGGAATAAAAACGCCTGACCAGAAGGAACTTTATCACTATGCTGCTGAACTGTGAGGGGAAAAGACTTTTGAGCATAAGCAAGAGATCCCCAGTTGGTTAGCCCAGGTTAGCCCTAAAGAACATACAGAACTTGCTTATTATAACAGCTTCTAAAAGGCAATAGAAGCTAAGACTGTAACTCATTTGTATGTATGTTCACCTGTTTTAACCTTGTAAATAACTCTAATTTCTTTTCTTAGTTAATAAAACTTTAGTTGGTTTATTATAGGACTGGCTACAAGCCTGGTCTATGGTGTAGGTTCGAAGGTGCAATTGACCTGAGGTAAGTAACTGGCCCTTTGGGACTGGGAGTAACCTGAATAGTGTTGGGGTATTTGATGCAAGGAACCATCTACCACAAAAGCAGGTTTGCCTGGCTGGGGTGCCCAAAGGGACTGTCTGTGACTCCGTGGTTAGGCTGCTATGGTGCTTGAGAGCTTGGTACTTGGTTGGTGAAATCTAACTGCAGAACATACATCCAGTTCGGGATTCGTGCCCTGGTTTGTGCCAGTCCGCCCTGAGGTTGGCACTCACAGTCGTGAGCAACTCCAGGCAGCTTGATGGCAGGGTCTGGTACTTTCGATGCCAAAGGCCCCAGGTCTGATCCCTGCCCATGCCCGTGCTGTCTGTATACACATGGGCCACCCCAGCAAGTGAGTGCAGAGCTGGGACGAGTGGATTGTTTCCTATGAGACAACTCTGGCTTTAGTGGCTTTGCATCCCTCACATCAGGGTGAGGCTAAACATATCCCAGCAGAGCCTTCATCTCCAGTACAGAGATGCCACCCTGAAAGACAACAGATCCCAGCATGCAATGCTCCATTCAGATCAGAGCTGCCAGCCAGCCCCTGCAGCCTCTCCAATCATACCAGTGATAAGGGGGGCTGCAAATTGGTTAGCATTGTACCAGCTAGATACGACTCCCAAGCGAGTGGCCGCACATGGTCCTTACCTGGGTCAAAGTTTGGAGGTCCAGCCCAGCATTATTCCAAGAAACCATAGGGCTACCATGGAGCATGGAAGAGGAGTTTGGCAGTTTTGTCTCGAGAACTTACCGTGATGAATATGGGCTCATCAAACAGCTCAGCCGGAGATTCAAAGACATTGAAGAAAAAGATCTGTTAAAAAATACAGATGAGACAAAGATCTGAAACGCGTCCAAAATACGCACAAGGGGCCAGCAAAAAACAGTGGCCTGGCAGAGGTTGGCCTTGTCGTAAGTTGATTCAATCGCAGTGCAATCCTTAAAGATGCTTTACACTAGCTGCTGGAATTCAATATTTTTCCTCTTCTCATCCGAGGATCTCAGAGCACTTTGCAAACATCAACTAATTAAGCAGGGCAGCAAACAATCTCTGGTGTAGGCAGGTAAACTGAGGCCCAAAGAGGGGCAATGACTTGCCCAAGGTCACACAGCAGTGCAGAGGTCAATGAGCCTAGAATCATTGTCACCGGCTGAGGATACGCCCCAGGATGTCTGTAGCAGAGCCAGGAAGCAAATGCTGACGGCCTGATTCTTAGGGCTTTGGTCCAGCCTCTCGACCCACCCCCTCAGCAGCGAGAGCGGGCAGCTGAGCCGGTTTCCATGTATGCTGCTGTCGCGTCAAGCAGGAAAGGCTGCCGTTACTCAGATTAACAGAACTAATGATGAAGCAAACGAGGCAGCGGAGCTGGGTGAAAGTGGGCCTCAGCGTTCTCACGTGCAGATGGGGATGAGCACTAAAGATAGGTCCACACTTACGGCGGGTACCTGTAGCTACACACCACAGTGAAAGGCAGGCTGTGTCTACGCTACCGCGTGCAGCGGGAAAGGCTCGGGCCGGGGACGAGGCAGCGGGGAAAGGCTCGGGGAGGGGACAGGACAGCGGGGAAAGGCGTCGGGCAGGGGACAGGCAGG